CATACAATATGGTGATTCTGTGGGTAGGTGCAAGTGGCATCTTGCACTGATGTAGGTAATAGAATATGTAAACCCTGTATTTATCTGGCCAGTACAATATCTTGACACACATGACATGGTTATCTGTTGCTTTGCACTGGTTTTGGAACTTATATTGTTAAACTGCTTTTAGAACTTATATTGCACATGTAAGTGAGCTTGGGGTGGAGAAATCCTTGAGGACCCCTTGCCTTACTGAGATTTTTGTTTATAGATCTCACCCCAAGTTTGGGGTACTTATTTCAGGTTCAGGTAACCCAGGGATTGAGATCTCTAGTGGCAGGAGGCCGGAGCTTAGTATATTGATATGCTTGCTGATTATGCTGATTTACCTGTTCAGTGATTACGCCTTATCCTTTATCATGCTGTTTGTATTGAGACTTAATGAGTATGTTGTTTATTTGGTGAGCATGGGGATTGTCCATGCCACATTGATTTGACGATGTTTAGGTTTAATTGAGTTGTATAAACTATCAGGATCTGTCCGGTCTACATGTTGTAGTTCCGTGACTAGAGACACATATTCAGTTATATTATTTATTGAGGTATTTCAGTTAGACGTTTAATTACAATTTACATACATGAAATGTTTTATGAAAAAAGAACTAAGTAATCCCCTTGGTAATTGATAATGACGTCATAATTGAAAAGAAAAAGTTATTCTGCATTTTTAATTAAAAGTGGCTTAATACGATGACATGTTAACAAACCGAGTATAGGAAGGAAGAACTCCAGAGGAGTGAACTTGGGAGTGGGAGGACGAGCTTCTCCGGCAATACCCCGAGTTCAGATACCGGTTCTGCTTCAAGGTATAAGTGCGTACCGGTGAAGTATCCCAAATAATTATAAAAAGTATGTATATATACCTAGCATAATATTTAAGTCAAGAATATCAAGTTTGAAGTCAAAATAATGAGAACTGACGTCAGAACTAATACCGACTGCGTGTGAACGTGTACCGGAAAAGTGTTTCGAAAAATTATAATAAAAATATGAAAATCTTAGAAAAATGGCTAGGTTCAGAATATGAAGCTTGAGATTAAAATGATAAGTGTAGCTATTAATGCTAATACGGTGGGGTAAAACTTAAGTGCACCTATAAATGCTAAAGGGCACAAAGCCCTAGGTCATTTCCTAGTGTCTACGTTAGTTTTCTGACTCTTGGTGGCTGCCACCTTCCCCCCTCTTCAGAAAACTTGGGGTTTTCCTCCATTTTCCATCAAAGACTCAACTTTTCTTCATGAAAACCTTCCTCCATGATGGTGTAGGCTTGTAGCACGCTTTGGGCAGGTGGAAAGTGTGTTCTTGTGAGCTTGAGGTTCTATCCTCTGAGCATTTAGGCGCTGATTTCTTGGGGTTCTTGTTGAGGAAGCCTTTCTTGTCATTTGAGGCTTCAAGGTGCCATTTTGGTAGAGAAATGACTAAGCTTTGGTTACAAATTCGTGGCTTGTGTAATCCAAATTTTTGGGACTGATTTGAGAGCTCCAAGAGCATATTGTTCTGCTGTTTTTGAGACTCTATAGGTATACCATGATCATTCCTCTTAAAATCGATGATTTTAGCTTGTTTAAGTCACTAAAAGAGGGAACTTTGATTAATCAAGTTAAGAGTTGTTAGTCTTTGCATGTTTAGTGCTTTTGAACTTCTGTTTTTGAGAAAAACTGGACCTTGAACCTCGGGGAAGCCTTTGGGTCACGGATTATGCAGAATTTTTCTGTAGAATTCTATTATGTTCGCGTGGGAATCGATTCCCTCTTGTTGGAAATCAATTACCAAGGGTGAGAATCGATTCCCAATGTTTGATAATCGATTCCTACCTGTCAGAATGACTAGAAACTAGTTTTTCTTGCATGGGAAAGTCCCCATTTGGGCATGAGGCCCTAGGCAGTCAGTGTTACTGTTGGGAAACATTAATACCTTTAATTGTGGGGCTTAATGCTTAATAATTATGAATTAGAAAGAACGAAAACGAACGAGAATACCTTGTTTAATGGTTATGAAATTAAGATTTCTGAATATTAAATTATGTATTCATAACGAACAGATTGCAATTGATTTGTGGGGAGACTGTTGGGTTTCCTGTTGTTACTGAGCCTCTGGATAGAGATTTTGGCACTACAGGTAAGCACTCGTGTCCTCGGATTGATCTGTTGCTTGTTCCACGGACCTCCACGTGAGGTGGTTTATATGCATGTATGCTTTTATGAAAGATTAAATATGCATTGATATATGCCTGAGATATGTTAAATTAACTGTTGATGTAATGTATGAATGTGATGTTGATTACTTACACGATCAGACTGCAACCCTTATGTTTAAATAGGTCGCAGACGTGCATAAACCCTATCCTGTTACGTGGCCAGTTGAACCGCATTTGCAAACATCACATGAGATCTGAGTTGTAGTATTTGGCTCGTTGAGCAGAAGATATGTTGTCATGATTTAAATGCCTTACATGAACATGCATTGTAATTACTATTTTTGAACTTATATTTATACTTGTAAGTGAGCTTGAGGCGGAAGAGTCCTGGAAGACCCCTTGTCTTATTGAGATTTCTTGTTAGAAATCTCACCCTGTGTTGGGGCACATTTTCAGGTACACCTCTGGTGGCAGGAGGCCAGAGTTGAGCTGATTGATGCATGCTTGCTGTTCTAGTTATATCACATGATTATGCCTGCTTTACATTTTATGGCTATTGTAGTTGAGACTTGATTGTTATGTGGTTGATTTGGTGAGCATGGGGGTTGTCCATGCCACATTGATTTCAGACTTGTTGGTTTATTTCTGAGTTGTATAATGTATCTGGATATTGTTCGGTCTACGTGTTGTAGTTCTGTGACTAGATACACAGTTATTTATGATATAAGGATATTTAGTGTAGTTATTTATTGCAATTGACATACATGCAATATTTTGAAAATGGTTAATAAATCAACTTGGTTAATAATGATGACATCATAATTGAAAAGAAGAAGTTAGCTTCTGCATTTTATTAAGCTGCGCTTAATATCGTAATATGATAACAATCCGGGTATACACGGGGTGTTACAAAATTCAGCAGCTACACTCACGTAGAAAACTAAAGGATCAGCCTAGGGCTTTGTGCCACTAAGCATTTATAAGCACATTAAGCTTTAATCGTCGGTATTAGCACTAATAGCTCCGCTAATTATTTTAATTTCAAAATTTAGATTCTGGACCTAGCCATTTTTCTATGATTTTTTGTATTTTTATTATAATTTTCGCAGCCCTTTGCCGGTATGCGTTTCTGCGTAGCCGGTATCAGTCCTGACGTCAGTTCTCAATATTTCGACTCCAAACTTGATATACCAGTCCTAAATATTATTCTAGGAATATTCATACACTTATTATAATTTTTCTGGATAATTCATTGGTACGCTCTTATACCGTGAAGCAGAACCGATATCTGCACTTTTCGACAGAAAAGCGACTTTCAACATTATTAAGCCCTTATATTAATTACTCAAGTCTTCCCATATTTATTCTACGTCAATTATGGAATTATTTCACAAACTCATATTTAATGATTTTAAATTCCTAATTTAACGGTGCGGGTTCTTACAGATTCAATCGAGGTCAATCACGATTTTGAAATCTATTTATCCGATGATGGACATCCTAGGAGTCCTAACCTTAGGTTGGTTATTTTAAGTAATAAATTTCAATTTCAACTTTTACATTTTGTTTTATTTTAATTCAATCAAAAACAAAAATCACCTTATTTTTTCAGTTTTTATTTTGCGATTAAAACCCTAAATTTTTTTTTGAGAGACTACTCAGGTTTGCACTATATTACAAAATTTTATTAAACTTGATTTATTTTAATTTGCACGAGTTCCATAACTCATGTTAGGGATAGAGCCATCTTTTGATATATGTATGGTTATTCAGATGTATTGTACTTGTTGTTTATCATGTGTTGAGTATTTTGTGGGATTGTAATCCCTTAATTATTCCAATTTATAGCTGTTACGCTATTTGTAGCTTTTGTTAGAAATGATACTTGTTATCATATTCGGACAGATATTTAATCATTGTTATGGTCTCCTGTATATTAAGGAAAAGTTCTATGCAATTATGGGACTATATAGAACATAAACCGAATTTTATAAGTTATGTGAAGAAATTACATAAAAGGAAGTCTTCCGCTGCATTTTTATTACCATACTATAAGTTAACAAACAGGCTCAAAACGGAGTATTACCGAGGTTTTCTGCCCTTGCCAAGATATGAGAATATGAAGAATGCGTGAAGAGCTAGACTTTAACTTGCAACAACAAATATCAATAAAATTTCAACAAATGATATTAATACCGTGTCTAGCTGAGATAGGTATTTGGTGAATGTCTGGCCAGTGAGGACTTGGAGAATCTTTTGGATAAGTATTGACCGAGTTAAAACTTTGAAGATTATCTCATGTAGTCACAAAAATTTAAACTTTGAACTATTTTTATGAACTTTTAAAATTTTGATTTGTTGTAAACTAGAATATTCAAATATATATTATTTTTGGTTTATTTATTGTTTATTTTGTAGGTGTATCAGATGGGCTATTGACATTAGTCTATGAACTGATAATTATTCGGTTTTGTATAAATTCTTCCATACAAAAACCAATAATTAGAATAGTAAGAGAAGTAAACAGAAAGAAATAAATATAAACTTATTAATTAGTACACACTTACTACGGTCATTTCAAAGAATCGGTCCAACTAATTATCAAATTAATCAATTTTTGAGTGTAAAATGGACTAATCATATTCAGCATTATATAAATGATTTACCAGTCAAACAAGAGAATCTATTCATCTTTAACACTTGACTATAATGTGCCACCAACTGCGTATTAAAAATGACACGTGGCGATAGAAGACAGGTCCTAGAAGATTATAAAAGGGCCATGACATTGCTCTAGTATTTGCACCATTCGAGCATTGAACTTAAGAGCCAACATGTCTCCCAAATACTTGTCACTGTGTCTGCTAGTAGTACTTGGATTTGTGCTTCTAGCTACCACTTCTCTTGCCGATGGCCATTATGACCATGACCATCATGACCATCACGACCATGACCATCATGACCATGATCATCATGGCTACGAGCCTCCCTATAAGAAGTATCCTCCATCTATGGAGGAATCCAAAAAGGAAACTTCAAAAGTGGGTTATACTCCCCTCGATCATCATGGAGGGGGGCATGGGGGGCATGGGGGGCATCATCCTCCATCCATGGAGGAATCCAAGAAGGAAACTTCAAAAGTGGGTTATACTCCCCTCGATCATCATGGAGGGGGGCATCGCCCTCCGCATCATCCTCCATCCATGGAGGAATCCAAGAAGGAATCTTCAAAAGTGAGTTATACTCCCCTCGATCATCATGGAGGGGGGCATGGAGGGCATGGCTACAACCCTCCGCATCATAAGTATCCTCCATCCAAAAATTAAGTGCACATAAAGCTACCACTCTTGATGAAATAAGCTTTGAAGACTTTGAAATAAAAGCATTTTATGCTATCCTGTAATATCAATAGTGAAATTTGGCTTGTTTAAAGAATAAATATGGCATGTATGCAATCATATTTTCTATTTTCTTCCAGTTATGTAAACTAGTGGAATAACAAAGCTGCTACATTATGTTGTTGAATAATAGCTTGAGTTTTTGTTTGAAGTGACGTGCATAATTTGAACTGATGCTGTAGAAAGATTATGTGTTCACACCAAAGCTGCTTAATGCTCTGTGTTTATATCAACAGCTTAATACTCAATGTTTGTGAATGTGTTCATATATATGTCGATTTTCTTTCAACGATAACAATACACAATTGTTTCTACACAACAATTCATATTCCCTATTGATAGTGAAGGCAAGGCTATTACCACTATCAGTGAATTTGTGTCGATTGAATTGTGCTCAACAAATTCTATTATCATTCAGAAAGATTGAGTTCGGTGCTAAGCGCTAAGCGAATTATTCTTTTACGAGACGACAAAGGTTTGAGCTCTTGAAATGTTAACTGTGGGGAAAACCATATCACTCTATACCTAATGAGACTAATTAGTCTTACATCCAAAGGTTATTATAGCCTAAGCACAGATTTGTGAAAGCAATTTAATTTAATTCCTTAAAACTCTATCTAACACATTTCTACGTTAGATCTAACTCCAGATATTATATGTCGAAAACTCTAATTCTATGTCGAAAGCAGCACCTTTGGGAGGATGCTTGTGAATAATTGTAAAGGCAAAAATCATAACACATAGTTTAAATCAAGTTATGGAAAGTTTTACTTTTTGTAAAGAAGTTCCTAAGTTAAACAACGTTAGTCAGAATAGCAAACATTTGGACACTAAATTAAAATACACGTTTCATTGCTATAACACCCGAAAATAGAATGCTACAACATCGATCAAGCTGGTAACTTGCATTCCCCAACGCAAAGAGGCTTAGAACATGCTATGAAACATGTCAAAGACTACAGAAACAAGGGGCGAGAAAAATAACAACATATATTACATAAACTTCACCACTCACATTTGAATATTTTCAACGTAATAATATTAAATAATTAATAGGGACTTACTCAATGCCCAACTTAGTATGCTTGTAACCAAAATGAGATACTATTTAATTCCTTGAAACCAAACTTATGATTTTTCTGTAGTTTTTGTCTATGTTTAAAACTATTTATTTTATCTTTATTTTATTGTCATATATTAGTATTGATTTTTAATGTTCTTGCTCTTATTGTTTATAGATTCTTATATTGATTTAAGTTTAGTGTTTTTTAATGTTCAATTGTTAATCTATAATATTGTATTTATAGAAAGAGACTTCCAATTGTGCAAAAATAAAATATGCAAATTAATATTTATAAGGTTTCAACTACAGGTTATAAAATTAAATAATATTTTGTTTAAAAAAAAACATTTAGCTAGCTATTTTCATTCCCAACGGAATCCACAAATTTCTTTCCGACAATGTACGGACAAAGAGCTCCTTTGGATGAGCTTTTTTCTTTCTTTCTTCAAAGTCTGCTTTTTTTAAGAAAAAGAGGCACTTCTTAGTTTTCACTGTAAGTTCGTTTAGATGTCTGTTTAAAAAAAACAGAAATCACAAAAAAAAACAAAAAATTTGCTTTTTCTTAAGCTAAATTTTTTTCTTAAAAAACAGAAGTCAAAAGTCAATTTTAAAAAAAAAAATTAAATATCTTTTTAAAAATCTAAATAACTTTAACTTTTGTAAAAAAAAATTTCAAAAATAAGCAAGGCATAAAAGTTGATTTTTTTTTTAAAAGGCCAAACAAATGGATTAGTTACTAGTTAGTTAAAGGATGAGATAAATTATTTATCTCCGTTAAAGTTAAATGTTACTATTCTTTCAGTTTATTAACATCATATTTCAGAATTCTATACAGTTCTCCTCACGAAATTAGGGCCCGTTTGGATGAGCTTTTTTTTCTTCAAAAGCTGCTTTTTTCAAGAAAAAAAGCACTTATCATTTTTAGTTCGTTTAGATGTCTGCTTTTAAAAAAAGGAGAAGTCACAAAAAAGCCAAAAACTTACTTTTTTTAGAGGCTAAAAATTTTAACTTCTCAGAAAAGCAGAAGTCAAAAGCCAAATATTTTTTTCAAAAACTAAATATTTTTATAAAAATATAAATAGCTTTAACTTTTGTAAAAAATACTTTTAAAATAAGGAAGTGATAAAAGTTACTTTTTCTAAAAGTTGAAACAAACCACCTTATATAAGATTATCAGAATTAACCATTAGATTAAACATAAAATATATTTTAGTGCAAGAGCTTTATGTCTCCTTTCATTCTCTAGAGAATGATATTTATCAGAAACATTCTTATCATCTCCTTCGAGAGATTAGAGTTTTTTTTTTTTTTTTTAGAAAACATATTTATTTATTTTTTGAAAAACGTGTTGTTTTCTTATATGAAAATGATATTTTATGTTAATCATGTTTGTGATATTTTTGGGGGAGAATTTTGTGTTTTATTGGGAAAATACAATTTAAGATCCATGTATATAATAACATTAAGAGATCAAGTATTATGCTAAGATGTGTATTTACACTTGCACAATGGTATTGTAATCATGCTAACGAAGTCATTAATTTGGTGGTCTTATACGTGGATTCGCTTATTGTTCTTAGCTATTGATTTTGTTGATTTTAGTTTATCATGTGTTTGGTGACTAAGTGTAACATGTAACACCACGTGTATACCTGGTTTGTTAACATGTAATCGTATTAAGCCACGCTTAATATAAAATGCGGAATATCTTTTTCTTTTCAATTATGACGTCATTATACTTAGCCAAGTTGATTACTTAATCATTTTCATAAAAACATCGCCTGTATGTAAATTGCAAAAGACAGCTAACTGAAATACCTCAATAGATAAATAAGTGATTATCTAAGTCACGGATCTACAATACGTAGTCCGGACAATATCCAGATACATTAATACTACTCAAAACTAAAAATCATAAAGTCAAGTCAAAGTGGCATGGACAATCCCCATGCTCACCAAATAGCAGCATAACCAACAGAGTCGCAACAATAACATCAAATGAAGCTATAAGCATGATATCAACAGACATAAACCAGCAACCAAGCATAGCCAACATAAGCAGATAAACATCAATCAACTAAGCTCCGGCCTCTTGCCGCTAGAGGTCTCAACCCCTGGGTTACCTGAACCTGAAATAAGCGCCCCAAACGTGGGGTGAGATCTCTGAACAGAAATCTCAATAAGACAAGGGGTCCTCAATGATCTTCCACCCCAAGCTCACTTACATGTGCAATATAAGTTCCAAAAACAATTAAACAGTATAAGTTTCAAAATAGTGCAATGCAGCAGATAATCATGTCATGTGTGTTATAACTAATCTACTGGCCAGGGAAATGCAGGAATACGTCTATTACCCACACTAGTGCAAGACGGCACTTGCACCCACCCACAGTGTCACCGTCTTTTATGACGCCACATACTCAGGCTAATCGTCTAAGTGGAACAACACATACATATTAAAAGCCTTTGCACATAAAGCTCAACAACATTTTCAATTATCAAAGCATGTAAACATAACATGCATATAAACCATTCCCCCATGGGGTATGGTGAAACCACACAATGGCTAAATCGAGGACACGAAAGCTTACCTTGCAAGCTAACAATCCAAGCCAAGAGTTCACACAAGCTCAAGGCCCACAAACAGCACAATCATAATCTGTTTATACAATAATTAATCATCAATAATCATTGCTCAAGATTACATTAAGTGATTAAGGCTTTCTAGCTCAATTTAACTTATTTCATGTTGTTTCTGCAGGAGGTATTCGAATACTACACGATTAGTATTCGAATACTCAAGCTCTCGAGAAAGTATTCCATTACTTTCACTAAAGTATTCGAATACCACAAGGTATTCGAGTACCAACACCCCAAGTATCTGAATACCACAGTATTCGAATACCAAAACTCACTGTATTCGAATACTCTCCAGTATTCGAATACTTCTTCAAAGGTATTCGAATACTTTTCTTTCCAGAAAAGTATCCCAATATTCCAGCAAGGAGTATTCGATTACCAGAAGACAAGTATTCGAATACTACACGAAAAGTATTCGAATACTTCTCCATCATAATGTAGAAATTCAAACCGACTTCTGCATAATCCCAATTTTAAGGGTCCAAACGTGATATGGAGTCCAATGACTCCAGAAACAGATATTCATTAACATGTTAAGAACTCAGAAACAAATTCTTTTACTTAAATGATCCATGTTTTACTTTTTAACCGATTAAACAAGCTTAAAACCTCAAAATGACAAAAGTGTGATCAAGGTATACCTCAACTCCGAAAACTCAGAAAAATGAGGTAACTTAGAGCTCCAAGGTTCTGACTAGCAAGACAAACGAAAAAGGCATACCAAAGGTTGGTTCTTTGCTACCAAGAAGGCTTCTTGAAGCTTCAAAATGCCAACTCAAAGGCTCTCACCACTCAACCAAAAAATCCATCTCCAAGATTCCAACAAAACAAGACACCAGTTCAGAAACAAGGCCTTCCACTCACTCCCAAAGGTAACCCTCACTCACACCAAGTGTTTGGGAAAAGATTCAATGAAGAAACAAGAAAAAAAGACCAATTGGCTCACAAGGTGAAGGGGACCAGCAATGGAACAGTGCACACACACCCTGACCAGCCACCACTCACATAGAAGTTACCAAATGCCTTGGGTTTTGAGCCAAAGTGAGTATTTATACGCACCTAAGTTTTAAACACACAGTATTAACAAAAATAGCTACGCTTAACACTTTAATCTCAAATTTGGGATTATGAACCTAGCCATTTTTCCAAGATTTATCATATTTTTATTTTATTTTTCGCAGCACTTTTTCGGTACGCGCTTTTTCATAGCTTGTATCAGTTCTGGTACCAGTTCTCATTATTTTAACTTGGAACTTGTTTTACAAGTCCTATATATTATTCTAGTGACATATACACACTTTTTATAATTTTCTGGGATACTTCATCGGTACGCATTTATACCGGGTAGCAGAATCGGTCTTTGCACTTTTCGTCAGAAAAGCGACTTT